CACAAAAACACAAAAAATCCCACTTTAGGCAACCACTAAAAACTTTTAACATGATGCCAAATTGTATCAACTTATCAGTTACTTTTCACCAGAACGACAATATTTTTCTAATATAAAACTAAACAGATATTTCCGCATTATAATAATCAATTGTAACCTAAATAAAAACATATTAATGAGTGCACAAACTCACCTAATGGCAGCAGCTCTGCTGCCGTAGTTCCTGAAAAAGAGCCTGCTCCAACGGCCTACAAAGTGATTGCATAATTCTGGTTAATTTCAGTTGTCAACCTTTGAGTACTAAAGATTTCTCTTTGCATACAGAAACGATGTCAGCATTAATCATAACCTGCCCGTATGCTGATTACTGAAAAAATGATAAAGCTGGCCTGATGAGTTAACTGGTTTGTCCAAAAGAACAAACCATCTACGGAAAAAAAATAACAAATCCGTTTACGGAACAATATGACAGCCCCAGTCAGATAGCGTGCTTTTAAAAGTCTGGAAGTGACCAACGTATGACATATTCACCCCGTAACATTAGTTGGGAACTGAAGCAACATGTCCTTCAAGTAATCATCTGAAACTGAATCTGCATAGTAAATCTAGAAATCAATAAAAAACAAGCAACATTATCAAGCTCAACTGATATTATCACCAAAATTGTCAAACATCTAAGTTATAAACAGTGCACATGTTATTACCAACTTGGTGTAATCTACCCTTAGGTTATAACTAATGGTAGATTACCCAGAAAAAACTAAGAACATAACGATTAACTCAAAACTAACCCATAGGGTGAAATACTCAATGGATGTGATAAGGCAGAAACGTGTCCATTTAGGTTAAGATTCCATCACCTACAACATCAATTTATTCATCATATGAAGAATACAAAACCAAATCTTCCACCACAACGATTATCAAAACACGAAATTGCTCTCGAAAACACAGTCATCGAGTGTTTCAAGCACAGGAATCTAATGAGAGAAATCTCAAAATAAATGAAGCAGCGAAAAAAAAGCATGAATTCAATAGAACAATACTGCGAAGCAATTTGTCTCACCTTCCCCGTCGGATTCTTCTTGATGAACTTTGAGTGACGGCGCAGCGAATCAGTAGCGTAGGAACCAAAATTCGTCCTCGCCCTCGCCGGAGAATCACTTCGACATGCCGACAACCGAGGCGCCTGCGTGGGTCGACGACTACGTAACCGAAATCGGACAGGTTCTGAGGGAGGGGAGTGAAAAAAAGGGAGAGATTAGTGTTTTGGAGAACTGGCAGAGTGGAGAAGACGAGAGTTTTTTTATTAATCTTTGCAGAAGGGAAAATCAGTCGGTATACCCAAAACGACGTGGTTGCACATGAGATTTTTATTTTATTTTGTGATTAATTTCCATATTTCATAAAAAAAAAAAATGGAAAAAATAGTCTAAATTAATTATTTTATTTTGTATTGATGAATTAGATTTTTATTTATTATAAATTTTTTATTTGATATTTTTATTTGATAATAAAATTGATATTTTTATAAAGATAATTGAAATAATTTATATTTTAAATATGCAATGCAGATGTCAAATTGAAAATCGTTAAAATATAATTATTTTAATATATCATAAATAAAAAATAAAATACAAATAAACAAGTTATAAAGTTTTATATATAAAAAAAAATACTAATTCATGATAATTAATAACTAAATAAAAAAGGTAAAAATGGTATATGGTAACTTAAGGAGAAAAAAAAATAAATCCTTTATTTAAAGAATGTTAGAAAAATTTCGTCCAACAATAGCCAATTTTGAGTTAACCAGTGTTAACTTAGAAAAAGTGGCGTAGTTAGTTGTTAGTGAGATTTTGAGTTATAGTAAAATAATATTTAGGATAAAATAATTAAAATTGGTTTGATGTAAAAGTAGGAGAGATATGATATGAAATGATGGTTAGTTAAAATTATGTGACTTGATGAATAGTGTATTAAAGTTGATATGATGTGTAAAATGATTATTTGTTATTATTTAATGATTGGTTGTTATTATTTAATAATATTCATGATAGTGAGGTTGAGTTAAAATTGAGTTAGATTTTGAGTAGAAATAATTTGGTTTGAGTTTTTCCTTTAACAAACATAACCTAAGGGAGTATTAAATGCTGCCCGATTTTATGGTTAAAAACATAAATCTATACTTATATAATAAGACATCCTATTTACTAAAAATTGTAGCAAAAAATAGGTTAGCACTTAATGCAGCTTATAAATAGTAAGTTTCATTAATTTTATTATTATTTTCTTTAAAAATCATACAACATTAAATGCTACCTAAAATTTTGAGTTTTAGTTCATTTTGTTATTTAAAAAATATGTCTAAGATCTTCTAAGTGTGCATGTTTTTATTTTTATTTTTTCTTAGAAACAAGAAATAACATTAAAATCTCGGTCTCTATATTTAAAAAATCTCAATTCAAAATACAACAAAAATTTTAGAATCTCGGTCTTTATATTTGTGTCTTTAAAAAAACATTAAACGCTAAAAATATTTTAATAATTTATATCTATTGGAACTCATGCGGTACACATAACATATAATAATTTAAAAAACATTAAATGCTAAAAAACATTAAATGCAACTCATACGGTACACATAACATATAATAAATTACATTATATTCATTTAAAAAAGTGTCATTTTAAAACTTTTATACAAAAATTTGATTTGACTACAATGTGATACAATAAAATAATTATTTTGGCAAAATTCTATTGTATATTTAAAAATATATGTGAATAATAAGTATAATTGTAAAACTTATATTGTTTCATTAACTGAATTGAATTTATTTTTGGATAAGCTATCCATATAAAAAAAATTTAAGTAGAAGAGTAATTTATTAAATTATAAATAATTGACTATTTCATTTACGTTCAAGTTAATATTGACCCGTAAGTTATAAATAATTACTTATTTGACTTTCACATTATATTTCTCTTATATATTTTGCGCGCGCGCACACACACACACACACACTTTCTAGATTTGTTGTCGGTTATCTTTCATTCAAATTTATCAACAAATTCTCTAGAACTAGATTGAAAATTTATCAAATAATTGTCTTGAACTAAATTACAAATTTTTATATCATAATTAATGCATATTTAATAAATAAATATGTATAAATTTTATAACTAAAAGTGGGAGAATTATTATGTTTATACTACTTTTAATTATAAAAATCACACATATATTATTTATTAAATATGGATTAATTATGAAAAAAATCATAAAATTATATAAATAAACAAATAATAACATATTATTTAATATATTAATTTATTAATTATATATATTAATATATATGTAATGTATTATTTAATATTTATTTAATATATAATATATTATTTAATTTATTATTTAATTTATTTATTTATTTACATATATTATATATTGAATATACATAATATTTTATTATTTAAAATATTTATTTATTTAGTAAATATTTATTTAATATACAAATAAATCGTAATTAAAATTAATTAGCGCAAATCAGTGAAAAACAACATAAATGGTATTAAAATTTAAATAAAAAAGGTACTTAAATTAGTACAATTAAATTTTGTAAAAGTTTTATAATTAAAAGTGGTATTAAATAATGATTAAACTTAAAATAAAAGTAAGTAAATTAAAAAAAATCAAAACTTAACTTGCAGACAAAAATTCTCTCTGGTGGGAGCGGCGATACTATTCTCTCTGGTGGGAGCGATCCATTTTCTGTTACTTTCTTCATTTGTAATCCAAGTTTAAGCTTCTCCGGTTTCATCTCATTTTCCTCATTGCAACCCCATTTCATTGATACTGGTATCGTCATTCTTCTCTGCGTTCCGATTTTGGAGATTAGGGTTTGGTAACAATGGCAAGCGCTCAAGACGACGAGCTGTCTGATCAATTAGAAAGATTCTCTCTTTCCGAAAACGAAGCAAAATTCATAGACATTGCTCACACAGACATCACTCTCAGTGCTGAAGAATGTAGCAGGAGTCTTTTTGGGAAAATTATTGGAGATCGCGCTGCGAGTTGGATTGGCGTCAAGAGAACAATGTCCAATATTTGGCGGCTCAATCAATCGATGGAGATTAAAGAACTCAGCCCAAATTATTTTCAGTTTATCTTCCAATGTAAAGAAGACCTACAGAAAGTCTCAGCTGGTATTCACTGGAGCTTTGAAAACCAATATCTTGTCCTCAAGGAATGGAGAACAGGGATATCAAGTAAGCACTCTTGTTTCAATGAACTGAATATTTGGGTTCAAGTCACTAATGTACCCTTAAATTGGTTAAGCACTGAAGTGGGATTGAAAATTGGCAAAGCTTTCAAACATGTTAAGAATGTAGTTTTAGCCAATGCTGGGAATCATGGAGGGAAAATTATGAAACTGCTAGTTACCCTTAACCTAGAAGAACCATTGCCAAGGGTTGCCAGCATAAGGTTGGGAGAGCAAGCGGTCAAAGTGGGATTTAAATATGAAAAACTGTTAAACCTTTGTCATTACTGTGGCAAGATTGGACATCTCGATAGAACTTGCTCTAAGAGATTTACGGACATCAACAATAACTCTTTGAAGGAAGGTCAATATGGGGACTTTATGAAAGCTCATGACACTCAGAGATGGTTTGAACATCATAATTCAGGCTCTAGAGGCTCTCCCCAGCCAGACTCTCCTGCCCCAAGTGACCAAGGATCACCACCACGTACTCAATCCCAACAGGCCGAGACTAGCCAGCAGATCATCATAATGCCACAAAGTTCACCTTCTAAATCAGCAGAAAAAGCCCAAGACTCTTGCACATCTGCAACTCCTGCCCTCACTCACCAAAAATCCATGATAGAAGCCCCATTGCAAATAGTTGAAGCTGGGAAAGATATGGAAGTTGATGCAAGGTTGCTTCCTGAATCAGCAGAGTTCATAGTCCACAATAACTTGATCTCATCCTCAACTCAGAATCTGAAAACTTGGAGAAGAGACAGAAGCAAAGATGGAAGGTTGCTCAGAAATTCTATTGTCTTACCTATCCTCACAATTCCACCCCAGGCTACCAGTGAGAAAAGGCCTAGAGACACTGAAGAAGAACAAGCATCTCCTGAGCAAAGTTCTCTCCCTAACCATTCAGTTTCCAAAAAAAGCAAGTCAAATGAAGAGAAGGTGGAGGTTGCCAGCCTTGAGTGGCACCACCAGAAGCAATGTTAGCTGTGGTGTGGAATTGTAGAGGGCTGGGTGGGCCCTCTACAGTTTCCCAAATGCGAGAGCTGATTAAAGCTCACCACCCTCACTTTTTTTTCCTTTCTGAGACAAAAAAAACAAAATCTTATGTGAATTGTATTAGTAAGAAATTCGGATATGCTGATAGAATAGCTATTGTTGACCCCATTGGTCTCAGGGGGGGTTTAGCTTTATTTTGGGATTCTAGTGTTGTAATCTTTCAGATTCTATGTAATGATTTCTATATAGCAGTGCACTTTTCTCTTCCCTCTCAAAATCCCCAATGGGGTATTTTTGTTTACTTGAGTCCCTGCAGAACATCCAGAGCTGATCAATGGAACACACTATTACAAGAAAAATCCAATTGGGGCAATTGCTGGTTTGCCATTGGTGATTGGAATGACATTTGCTCAAACTCAGAAAAATCAGGAGGCATTCCCAGGAGTCAGAACAGTCTTCAACCCTTTCATTCTTTTATTAATCTTATGGGGATGGAAGAGATCAGACTTCAGGGTTACCCCTTTACTTGGTGCAACAACAGATCCAATTCTGAGTTAGTGGAGGAACAGATTGATAAAGCATTTGGATCCTCAGACTGGCTACTTCTCTATCCTAATTCTTCAGTTCAAAATAAACTGAGAAGTTCTTCAGATCACTCTGCTCTTGTGTTTGATATGGGTCTTCCAGGGGCAAAGAAACATGGTAGATTCCACTTTGATAAGAGGTGGATTGGGAAAGAGGGGTTTGAAGAAATTGTTAAAAAATCCTGGCAAACCTCAGTCACAGGTACTCCTTTTTTCAAACTGAAAGAGAAGATCAAATTAACCAGATTGGCTCTGCTTAAGTGGAGTTCCACCTTTCAGACTCAACATCAAGCCCTCATTGCTGAACTCACTCATAAATTGGATCAGCTGAATCATGACAAATCAGGAGTCAACTGGGAAAATTGGGAATCTACCAAAAGGGCATTAAACAAAGCTCATCTCCAAGAAGAAATCTATTGGCAGCAGAAATCTAGGCAAAGATAGCTTAAGGAAGGAGACTCCAATACAAGATTTTTTCATGCTTTTACTTTGCAGAGGAGAAGATCAAATGCAATCACCAGGCTTATAGATCCTCAGGGTAGAATTCTGACCTCTCAGAGAGCTATGGAGCTTCACATTTCAGATTTCTACAATAATCTCTTCACTTCAGATGGCAGCAGAGGAGGAGATTCAATTCTTCACCTGATACCTCAAAATGTAACAACTGAGATGAATGAAGCCCTTGTGAAACAAGTGTCTGAGGAAGAAGTTAAAACTGCTTTGTTTCTCTTACCTTCTGATAAAGCACCGGGGGAAGAAGGCATGACCTCAACCTTCTATCAGCATTTTTGGGATCTGATAAAACATGATCTTCTGAGTGCCATTCAAAGTTTCTTTCAAACAGGTACACTTCTCAAATACTGGAATCACACAGTTCTCTCTCTAATCCCAAAGTGTTTGAATCCTGAAACTATGAGTCAGTTTAGGCCAATAAGCCTTTGCACTGTGGTTTACAAAGTCATTTCCAAAGTTTTAGCTCAGAGATTGAAGGTTTGCCTCCCATATTGCATAAGTGACTTTCAATCTGCTTTTGTTGAGGGAAGACAGCTGATGGATAATGTGATTGTTTCCCAAGAGGCTTTTCACTTTTTAAACAGACACTCTTCTGGATCTAATTTTTTCATGGCCCTCAAACTGGATTTAATTAAAGCGTTTGATAGAGTTGAGTGGAGATGTGTGCATGATATTATGATACAGATGGGCTTTCACAGAGACTTTGTCAAGTGGATTATGACTTGTATCTCAACTACATCATTCTCTTTCAAAATCAATGGAACTGTAAGCAGTTATGTCACTCATTCTCGTGGAATAAGGCAAGGAGATCCACTATCTCCATATCTCTTTATAATTGTGGCTGAGCTGCTTACTGCCTTAATTCTTCACTCAGTTGCATCTGATCAGCTTAAAGGCCTAAGGCTTTCCAGGAATGGTCCATTGCTTACTCACCTTCTATTTGCTGATGACTCTATCTTCTTTTGCAAAGCAGGCTCTGATCAAGCAGGCACTCTAATGAATTTGCTTGAAAAGTATAGACTCTTCACTGGCCAAGCAGTTAATATGAACAAATCAGCAGTTTTTTTCAGCAGAAATACTCCTTTGACACTCCAGCATTCTATTTGTTCTACTCTCAATGGAATAACAGCCCATAGATCCACCAGATACTTGGGACTGCCATTGGGAATTGGAAAATCCAAAAAGGAAGTATTTGAATACCTTCTTCTTTCTGTCAAAAGCAAACTGCAAAGCTGGAAGTCCAAACTTTTAAGCCCAGCTGGGAAGGAAGTGCTCCTCAAATCAGTTGCTCAAGCTTTACCTATCTTCACTATGTCTTGTTTCAAATTGCCAGTTTCCCTTTGTGCTGAAATCTCACAACTTTGTGCCAACTTCTGGTGGCAAACAAATGCTCAAACACAGGGAATTCATTGGAAGAAATGGAATAACATGTCTCTGCCTAAAGAAAATGGAGGTTTGGGTTTTTTAGATCTGCAACTCTTCAATCAAGCACTAATTTGTAAGCAGCTCTGGAGAATAGCATCAAACCCAGAGCTTCTTGTGAGTAGATTATTGAAAGATAGATATTTCCCTCAAACAGCCATCACTCATGCTACCAAATCTCAGAAAGGATCCTGGATGTGGAACTCATGGATGCAGGTGATCCCTTTTTTTGCAAAGTGGATAAAGACTGAGATTAGAAATGGAATGTCTACTCAAATTGCAGACTTTAATTGGGTGCCAAAGCTCTCAAAACCATCCCCCACTCTTTTGTCAATTGCTAGAGGACACCTCATATGGGTCAAAGATCTGCTGAACGCAGATGGAGCTTCTTGGAATGAATGGCTTGTTAAGCAAGTCTTTGATAACAATGACAGTGCAGCAATTTTAAGCATTTCATCCCTACATCCTGACAGACCAGATAGGCTTCATTGGGGACTTGATAAAAAAGGACAGTTCACAATGTCCAGTGCCTATAAGCAATTGTCTAGCATTAAACTTGCCCAGCTAGACTTCCCTGAGAGCAGCTCCAGTTCAAAAATTTCAAAAGCAGTGCAATACAGACTTTGGAAAGTTAAAGTTGCTGGAAAACTCAAACACTTCCTCTGGAAGTGCATCACAGGTACATTACCAGTTGCTAGTTTGCTTAATAAGAGGAAGGTTAACATTGATCATATTTGTTCTGTGTGTGGAGACTTCTCTGAAAATATTGAACATGCACTACTGAATTGTACAAGAGCAAAAAGAGTCTGGGACCTTTCTCCAGTATCATGGGATGGAATTGCTGACTGCACTGATTCTTTCAAATTGTGGTGGTTCAAGATATGCTCCCTTGATCATTCTGAAGTTGCCGAAGCTAGAATTCAGCTATCCACATACATACTTTGGTGGCTTTGGAAGTCAAGGAACTTGTGGGTATTTCAAAGATCCATGATGCCAGCAGCAACTGTGGTAAAGGTGGCTCATTCAGACTGGACACACTTCACCTCAGCTTTTGGACTGTTGGCTTGATTTGTCTGTATTTTATCTTTTGCTTGTTTTTATTTTTTGGAGTTCAACTCCCTTTCTAGGCTTTTAGCAGTAGAAGGAGGTTGTTCTTTGGATTTTCTGTCTTTTTCAGTTTTTTCCTCTTGTAGAGGTTCTAGACCATCTAGGATGTGTCTCTCACTTTTTATATTTGTATTGCCATTGTACTCTGAACAATGTATTAAGACTATGTCCTCGTTGAGTTTTTATGATATTATCTCTGTCGTTTCGGGAAAAAAAAAGTAAATTAAATAAATAAATAAATAAATAATATATTATTTAGTTACCTTGTTTATTTAACTTTTATTAATATTTAACATATTAAATAAAAAAATATATCATTCATATAAATATATATATTAAATAAAAAGATGTTGAATTGTCGATAAATATAAATTTTAAGTCAATTTTTTAACATATCATCTTGTAGGTCAAGTGGGTAATGGGTCTCCTTTTTGTAAAGAGTGTAGGGTTCAATCCTTAGTGTTGCTATTTTTTTTTTTTATAATTTGCCACCTCACCAAAAAAATAAAAATAAAAAATTAAATAAAATTTACATTTAAGAGGATTTTTGCTATCTAACTGCCACCTCACCAAAGAGATAACAAATTAAATGAATTTACACGTAGGCGGGCTCCAGTCATTTAAATAAAAAAATTACAACAAATTTTTTTTTTCGAAAATAATTTTCGTCATTATATGTATTAATGTTACGAATTTTAGATATATCTAATTTATCATCACAAACAAACTATATAATGACGAATTTTTCGTAAGCGTCATATTAAATAAAATAAAAACACAACAATTTGTTTTCGTCATACTAACTTTTGTCATAATACATATTAATGTAGCGAATTTAGATGTATTATAATGCATCTTCAAAAAGCAAAGTTATATAATGACGAATTATACGTGATCGTCATTTAAAATATATAGAAAAATAACGTTTTTTTCATCACAGTGACTTTTGTCACAATATGTATTAATGTGACGAATTTAAGCACATTATAACGTATCGTCACAAAAGAAAGTTATTTAGTGACGAATTATAGGTAAGTGTCATTTTAGATACAATAAAAACACAACGATTTGATTCATCACAGTGGCTTTCGTCATAATATGTATTAATGTGACGAATTTAGATGTATTATAATTTATCGTCACAATAAATAATTATATAATGACAAATTAGTCGTAAGCGTCATTTTAAATAAAAACAACATTGACGACATTTTGTTTGTCACATTTAATTTCGTCACATTTTATATACACATGACGAATTTAGATGTATAGGTGACGAATTGAGGTGCATTGTCGTGAAAAATACCATTATGTGACGAAAAATAAATTCTAAGATGACGGATGTAGTAATTGTCGCCATATGCAATGATGTAATGACGATTTTTTAAATTCGTCACCATAAGTCAATATATAGTGACGATTTATTTTTCGTCACATGAATTTCGTCACTTTTTGGCAGATTTCTTGTAGTGGTAATTTATGATGCATATTTAGTTAATACGAAATGCATACTTGTTATATTTAAATTAAATATATAATGATGTTTATATAGTTAATTTATGATGTATATTTAGTTAATTCATGATACATATTTAGTTCTTACGAAATGCATATTTAGTTTATGAACAGTGCATACCTATTTTATTTGAGATGTCAATCATAACAATTTATTTGTGTTATTAATCAATTTAAAATTAAAATTAATTATATAATTAAAATCATTTATTATTATATTTCATTTAATTGTATAAAATGTGTATTTTATTGCATATTTTCGTTGCATATTTAGTTCATTCATGATACATATTTAGGTAGTAAAATGTGCATATTTAATACATAAACAGTACATACATAATTGATATTATTGGTGCATATTTAGTTTATAAGGATAACATATACAATTCATTTCTTATGCATATTTAGTTCATACTAAGTGCATAGTACTGTATGCATATTTACATCATACACAATGCATACAAAGGGTAAACGGTCAATGATGGAAGTCAACGCCGGAAGTCAACGGTCAACGCCGAAAGTCAACGATATTCGCCGGAAGTCAACGCCGGAAGTCAACGGTCAACGTCGGAGTCAACGGTCAACGCCGAAGTCAATGGTTAATTGTCAAAATAATATTTAAATAATTAAAATAATAAAAATAAAGAATTAAGTAATAAAAATAAAGAATTATTTTTTAATTGAAGAGTTAAATCTTGGCCACACATCATGTACCAATTTAGTGGCTAGAAATGGGTCTCACATTCACACTTTAAATATGTGGACTCATTAAATCCAATGAGTCCACTACTTAAAATGAGTCCACTCCTTAAAATGAGTCCACTCCTTAGCCACTCATTTGGTCTAGATCAAAATCAATTAAAATATACATTGATTAAATAATAAAATAATTATTAGTTGACTCTGGCGTTGATCGATGACTTCCGGCGTTGACCGTTGACCCGTTGACCGCTAGTATGCATTATGTATGAAGTAATATGCATACAGTACCATGCATTTAATATAAACTAAATAAGCATGGGGTATGAATTGCACATGCCTTCATTATAAATTAAATATGCACCAATAATATCAACTGAGTATGCACCTGTTATTAAGTAAATATGAATCTGTTATGAACTAAATATGCATCATGAATGAACTAAATATGCATCGTGAATGAACTAAATATGCAGCGAAACTATGCAATAAAATGTACATTTTATATAGGTAATTTATGATGCATATTTAGTTAATTCATTATGCATATTTAAGTAATTTATGATGCATATTTAGTTAATACGAAATATATACTTGTTATATTTAAATTAAATATATAATGATGTTTGTAGTTAATTTATGTTGCATATTTAGTTAATTCATGATACATATTTAGTTCTTACGAAATGCATATTTAGTTCATTAACAGTGCATACCTATTTTACTTGAGATCCAATCATAACAATTTATTTGTGTTATTAATCAATTTAAAATTAAAATTAATTATATAATAAAAATCATTAATTATTATATTTAATTTAATTGTATAAAATGTACATTTTATTGCATGTTTTCGTTGCATATTTAGTTCATTCCTGATGCATATTTAGTTCGTAAAATGTGCATATTTAGTACATAAACAGGGCATACATAGTTGATATTATTGGCATATTTAGCTCATAAGGATGACATATATAATTCATATCTTATGCATATTTAGTTCATATTAAGTGCATAGTATTGTATGCATATTACTTCATACATAATGCATACTAGCGGTCAACGGGTCAACGCCGGAAGTCAACGGTCAACGCCTGAGTCAACAGTCAACGCCGGAGTCAACGGTCAACGCCGAAGTCAATGGTCAATTGTCAAAATAATATTTAAATAATTAAAATAATAAAAATAAAGAATTAATTACTAAAGATAAAAAATTATTATTTAAATGAAGAGTTAAATCTTGGCCACACATCATGTACCAATCTAGTGGCTAGGAATGAGTTTCACATGCACACTTTAAATATGTGGACTCATTGGATCCAATCCCTATATATATATATATATATATATATATATATATATTCTAAACGATAGAGATTAATAATAAATGAAACATACAAATGTCCAAAGTTACAGCCTCAACTGGATAACACAACTAAAAACTG